GTGACAAACTTATCAGCGAATTTCAAGACAAAAGTAACTTTTCCAAAGTATGTGGAACATTCAAGATGAAAGATGGTTGGCTGGATGAACCCAAGAGTTCCAGGTTCTTTGAAAGCTGTTCTGAATGGTAAGAAAACAACTTTTATTGTAGTTTTTTTGAGGGTTTCGAAGTGTTGACATAACCTTCCTTAGTTTTTGTTTACTCATCACTGTACCTCGCAGGGGGAGGGATGTTTGCATTTAACTTGATATATTTACACTCTCCGGGTGCTGCAAATAGCATATATGTGGTAATTGGGGTTTTGTTGGTGTCAAAAGTGGTTTTGGGTGTTTTGTTTTTCATGAGAAACTATCAAACCTCAGAAGTGGCCTTTACCTATGAGACTTGTTGAGTAAACAGATAAACTGCTGCAGACGTGCCAACCCTCATGCAAAGACACGTGCCATAAAATCCCTCAGGAATGCATAGTTATGGGGATAGTCAATTATGTTTTTTTAATCGTGCCATATGAATGACAAAAAAGAGATGTGCACTCATCATCTGATTCTGAATCATCTCAATCAAAGTATGAAAAGCTTTTGCAGTGGTTTTATTTTTGCCTTGACCTCTCCACACCCTACTTCATGACACCACAAGTATGCCATGCCATACAGAATTGTTTGAACTACAAATTTAAAAGACCACGAAAACCTCCCTTTCCCTCCTTTCGTAAAATGAAACCCACAATGAAAGTTTCACAATATATGCATAAGCTGGTTTGTTACACTGAAGGGCAGTTATACTGGCTATACAGATACAGAAGTTGTGACTGATGCGTTTTTAATAAGGCCAAATTAAGGCTGTCATGTTCATGTCGATACTGCATTATTGAATCCATGTTAATTACTTTGCAGTTCTGGTAGCTGTTGCATTCCTCCAACTCCACGGTACTGTGAGCCAGACTTTCAACGTGACGACCGAGGTTACTGTGGTGAACTCCTCCACTATAGCGGCCTCCACTCCCATACCAACAACAGAAGTCTTCCCACTCAGTTCTCTCAATCCACCCACTATAAACTGTTCAGGCTTTAATGCCTCATTGTGCAATTCATGTACACCAGGATATTATGCAAACACCAGTAAGTGGCCTTTTAAGTAGTACTAGATTTTTCTGAAAGCATTGATTACAGAGAAGAATGTTGGATTCATTATAATTGTATAACTATAATGTAATTACCAATAATTGATTGTACTCTACTCACTGACAATGCAGAAATTTCTGTCATTTAATTTGACAGGAGTGTGCAAATCATTTTTATATTATTATATATTATTAGTCATTTTGCTTGTGGCTACTTCTGTACAAACCTGACTTTTCTGACCTGTCTCTTGCAATCAGAATAAAGCCAGACATTGGCAAACTGTCGTGATGTGTAACCATGTCTATCCCAACTTTTGTCCCAGCTGCTTTCCCAGACTGCCACTGTTGTCAGGAGTTTGGTCAGGAGGGGCAATGTCAATCCTCCTGTCAGAAGTGCCGACCTGGGCACTACCAACCCAACAACAGCTCCATCTCATGTCTCAAGTGCCCTATAGGACACAATAGCAGGTCAGTAACCACTCCCATCCACAAAGCTTATAGATCATAAGTAAAGAAGATCTGTAAGAAGGTATGTGAACTTATGTCATGTCTTAGCCGTGATGATGTTCCTTAGGATGTTGGGGACTGGTCTGTATTTTACGAATATAAATGTATGTACTGTGTATATCTATCTGTATACACTGTATCTTGTTTATGATTTATATGTCCGTATCATACATTTGTATTCCACAGCACCTTTGGAAATCCAGAGTGTTCGGCATGTAAGCCTGGGTTCTTTGCTAACACAACAGGGATGGCAGTGTGTCTCCCTTGTTTACCAGGTAAGTTCAGCATTTTGTTTTAAAGTTAAAGTTATTTCCATGTACATGTATGCGTCTGTCAATAAGCCAATTCAGGGTTCCAAGTGTGTATGTGCCATGCCATGTAGTATCGGTAATATGAGCAGACTTATATCGTACAGTTAGGCAACAGTGAAGGATTTAGCATTCCATTCTTTAAGGCTTGAACAGAGGACCAAAAGTACAAAACATGTACATGCATAGGTGAACAACATGAAAAGTGCTGCAAAGACATTATGTCATTGCTGTCTTGAAACAGATACCAGTAGTGCTAGCATGTATATCATCTTTGATCATTGATCATGCTTTCAGTCATTGTATTGTAGTCTGTATTAAATGAAAGCTTCCATGTTGCATCCCTTTTTTCAGGAACATTTACAAATAAAACAAAAAGCAGTCAGTGCCAGAAGTGCCCCAAAGGACACAAACAGCCAGAGATGAGGGCCGAAGAGTGCCATGAGTGTGAAATTGGTTCATTCTGCAAGTAAGATAACTAGCTATAGGTCACTCCTTGTAGTCTAGGCTAAGACTTTTGTGGTTGTGTTGATTTTTTCTTGAGTAGCTGATTCCTCAATAAGGAATTAGTCTTGCTTGCTTGCTCATTGACTAGAAAAAATATCATCTCCACACTGTCATCTTATTCATTGGCTTGTCATTGTGGCAAGATGTAAATGATATGGGAAGTACACACACAGTCACACTTAGTAACACTGCCTATACACAGTATACATGTATGCACCACGTACCTAGTATATGTACATGTATTGTAGGCATTTCATGCACACATACCTAGTATGTAATTCAATGGTCCGAAGACATGCCCTGGTGTGCATATATT